TCGGGCTATCACACCCAATCCAGCCACCGAATTAGCCTTCACTGCAGCATCCACATTAAATTTGACCCACCCCGGGGGGGGGACGCACCATAGTTTGTTGATCGGCAGCCCAGAAGACTGAGAGGTGCGCCATTGCCCCAAGGTTGGCATAGTGGCAGAGTGCGATAAGCGAGCAAGGACATTTGCCGCAATAACAGTGGGGGTACCAAACGATCGGCCATGGCATTTGTCATTGCGAGCCCTCCAAATTTGATAGACAACATAGCAGTAGATCCTACCCATGCAAGGATTATCACGAGCTGTCATAGCCAATTCCACAATAAGCTCGTCCCAGTTTCGGAATTGAGGGATGGAGACCCCCCACTTGGCCAGCGCGCCACGGGTCTGCTCCAGCACATCACAGCGAATGGTTATGTGCTCAATGTTTTCGCTGCCGCTACAGCCCCAAGGGCAGCGCACATCCTCCGTTAGTCCCCTCCTATGCAGCCACTCATTGGTCGGGATAGCACCCCGAAGCAGTCGCCACCAAAACAAATGCTCCCGGGGGTGAAGTTTAAACTTCCTAAACCATAAGAATTGATAATCCTGCTGCTCAAACCCAGCTTGGAACGCCATAGCCGTAATGGATTTATTAAGGACCGAGCCAATGAGGTCCGGTTGGTCAACTCCAGCATTGCAGCCCGTAGGAATCTCCAGGATACGGCAGCCAAGCACCGTCCCAAAGCAAGCCGTAATCATCTCGGTCCGCCAATTGAGCTCTTCATCCAGGAAGTCACCAACCATACAGCCTTCCACATCCTCAATAGAGATAAAGGATGGCCATCTGGCAAGGGTACAGTTCCCAATCCAGATGTCGTTCAAGGCATCAATATTCCTGCCATCACCAACATTCCAGCATAAGATAGGCCGGAGGGCCACCGCTCCAGCCTTAAGAATCTTCCAGGTCGTGGAATCACTCCTTCGGGTCACATCCCCCCAGACATTCCGCCCATACTTAGCACTTACAACTTTCCCAAGCGCAGTGTCCTGATCGTGAACAAAGTTCCAAGTTAATCTTGCCCGCAAGGGTCCT